CTGGTGGCGGCCCTGCCGGGCGCCCGGCCAGCAGCCACCGCTCTCCGGCCGCCCAGCTCTGAAGGCAGCGCAGAAGTAAGGGTGGCAACACCAAATCACGGACATTTGTCCACCTGGAGGGAGATCAGAGGAGCAAAAAAGAGGCCGTATCCGGGAAAACCCAGATGTATGATGTGTGGTAACTCTCACGACCCGGCTACAGTAGCCTTGCGACCCCCTTTTGGGTCAGGACCCCGAGTCGGAGCTAAATCATAACCAGTCGCTCTTACGTCGGGACCAGCGTATCCATCTGTGTGGGGAGTTGTAGCAGCAGAGCGATGCCAGTAAAATCGGGACGAGCTGTCAGTACTTGTGTGTAGACACACCGGTTTGTAGACACACCAGAGCCTTTCCCCGGCTATAATCCAGCCCTCAATCTCCAGAGGTCGGGCGTTGGGACCTGCATTGAGTGCGAGGGGAGAGCGCCCCCTACTGAGCTCCACCGCCCCGATCCTTGTAGAACAGCGCCCCCTAGTGCTGCCCTGGAGCCACACGGACTGTGCGGGGGAGCACTCCCCTACTGGGTCCCCACCCCGCTCCCTGCAGCACAGCGCCCCCTGGCCCCACACTGGGGAAACGCCACCAGCCCTCGTATTCGCTGGCACCCAGTGAAATCCCCAGCTCTCCAGGGGAAGTTACAGCATTCTGCTCTTTACCCTCTCCCCCCGCTCCTGGATCGCGAGCAATCGGGACCTGACTGAGCAGGAGACATGGCTTGAGAAAACCAATGGCGTTTGCTCCTGGGCAGCAGCCGGTTAAGCGGGCAGCATCTGATCCCGGATCCGTCCACTGGAGGAAACGGGAGAGCCAGCGTTAACTGGACGGAAAGTTCCTCTGGATCAGTGCTGAGCGAGGCAGGTACAAGGGGGTGCTGTGCTGGGGGGCGGGGGTGAATCGCCGGTGGGTTTCCTTTCCGCCTCCCGAAATTCCTCCTGCAGGTTCAGGCGGATACAGGATTCCTCTTCACCGTTGCGTTGCTGTGGGCTAGTGAACAGCTGCCACAACCCACCCCAGAGGGGGCTGCATTTCAGGGCTGGATGCAGTGAATTCTATAGATCTCCTTGCTCCTTGTACTTTGGGGTCATTTGGGCTGAAAAGAGGACGGGAAGGGGACCATAAAGCGCTGGCATTCAGTGATCCGGGTTCAATTCTCAACTCTGCCACAGCCTGCCCAGGGTCACCCTGGGAAAATCACTTAATCTGTATGTTAAGCCCTGCCAGAGATTAATTAGGTCAGTGGTTTTCAACCTGGGATCCGCAGACGATGTGTAAGATTTCCCCAGGGCTCTGCACGTCCATTTGAAAAAATGGTAGGGGTCCGCAAATGAAAAAAGGTTGAAACCCACTGGATTAGGTGGCCCCGGTGTCTGAGAATTTCTGTGCCTCCATTTCCCCGTCTGTGTAATGGGGATACCAATCCACCCTTTGTCTATCTGGAGGGTCAACTCTGGGGTGGGGACTCACAGTGTCTGCCCAGACGCCAGGCTGTTTGGAAAGCTGTTTTCTCGCCCCGTGAGTCCCCGAACTGGCCGCTAGGTGGCACTTCTGCGCTGCCAAACCCCCGCTGAGTTTGCATCCGCGTGACTCAGCTTCCCCCAGAGCTAGAGATGGGCTCAAGGCTGGCGACCAACTCCGGGTTTCTTCCACACACCCCGTCCACACACAGACACGCACAACAGCTGCCTTTGGCTCTGGCCTGTCGGGTGCTGGCCCATGTGTTCCTGGAAAATCCCAGCCTGCAGCGGGGTTTGCGATCTGAGGGAGCCAGGAGCTGTCCCAGGGGCAGGATCCTAGGCAGAGGGCCCCAGCCGCAGGGAGTTCGGCGTGGGGTCTATCCCAGGCACTTCCCCACCCGGCTCAGCACGATCCCAGCCAGAGCCGCGCGCCCGGAGCCTTGTGGACCGGGGGAGACTCTGCGGGACAGAAGGGTCGGGGACACAAATTTCACTGGCAACGTCGGGGCCTGATTCTGCCCTCAGGGGGGCAGATCCTCATCTGGTGTAAATCAGCCCAGTGCGCCGTTCCGTCAGCTGACGCACAGAGCGGTGACCCCAGCGGGGCTACGGCCAGTTCCCCCCAGCGGGGATTGGGCCCCACTGACCCCAGCGGGGCTACGGCCAGTTCCCCCCAGCGGGGCTACGGCCAGTTCCCCCCAGCTGGGATCGGGACCCATTGACCCCAGCGGGGCTACGGCCAGTTCCCCCCAGCGGGGCTAGGGCCAGTTCCCCCCAGCGGGGATCGGGCCCCGTTGACCCCAGCGGGGCTACGGCCAGTTCCCCCCAGCGGGGATCGGGCCCCGTTGAGCCCAGCGGGGCTACGGCCAGTTCCCCCCAGCGGGGCTACGGCCAGTTCCCCCCGGAAGGGATCGGGCCCCGTTGACCCCAGCGGGGCTACGGCCAGTTCCCCCCAGCGGGGATTGGGCCCCGTTGACCCCAGCGGGGCTACGGCCAGTTCCCCCCAGCGGGGATCGGGCCCCGTTGACCCCAGCGGGGCTACGGCCAGTTCCCCCCAGCGGGGCTACGGCCAGTTCCCCCCAGCTGGAATCGGGCCCCAGTGACCCCAGCAGGGCTACGGCCAGTTCCCCCCAGCGGGGATCTGGAGTCAGGTTACTCCCATGGGCAGGGGTCTGTGGGATCAGCCGCTCCCCCTCCCCCGGCCCAGTCCGGCCCATCTCCAGTGCGATCCCGGCTCCGTCCAGATTCTCCCCCCTGTTCCCCGCCCTGGGGTGGCAGCCACCACCCTGCCCCCTGGGCTGTGACACAGAGCCCCTGTGGGCGAGGGGGGTGGATTTCGGTACCTTGGTTCCGGGCTGGGGACGGGACACCCACGCGCCCCTCCTGGGGCCACAGGTTCAGTGCTGGGGAGCCCTCCTGTTCCTGCATTGTGCCGGAGAGCGAGGAGGTGGCGGGTGGGGGGGCGCAGTCAGGAGTTGTGGGGCAGGTGCTGGGGGGAGGGCAGTGAGGGGCTGTGGTGTGCAATCACCCAGGAAGCTGCAGCTGGGGGGGGGGGCGGGGGGCAGGGATGCTGGTCAGAGCGTCCGGCCTCAGGGGCTCGCAGCTGCTGCAGAGGTCGGCTCAGGCAGGCAGGGGCTGGTCACAGACAGTGATGGCCGCCCCCGTTCCACCCTAATGCAGCTGCAGCCGCCCTGATGCCAGGGTGAGGGGCACAGCCTGTGTATGGGCTAGTCTGGCCCTGGTCATTTCACCCCCCTGCTTGGTGACGCAGGGAGGTATCATGCCCCCCCCCCCGACCGGGGGAGGGGGCATTTGGCCCTGGGATCCCCGGCAAATGGTCACACCAGAGCCGCACACCCCGTGCTCTCCCCTTCCCGACGGCTGGCTGCCACCTAGGGCGCAGCGGGGAACTGCAGGCCCAGAGAGGGGATCGGTCTCACCCCGGCTGTTTTCCTCTGGCTATAACGAGTTTTCAGGCACTCGCTGGGCCCGATCCTGGGCTGGGGTCGAGCCCTGTGGAAATCGACTCTCACACATGCTGGGCCCAATCCTGGGCTGGGGGGGTCGATCAGTGGGACTGATTCTGAGCGGCACCTACTGAGGCTCTGACCCTAGAGCTCAGATTTTTGACACTGCGCCCCTCACCCTGGTGTCAGGCCAGCTGATCCCCCTCAGGGAGTGGAGGACGGGGGGCGTCCGGGGCTGGCTGGGAGCTTTCGCGTGACAGAGCCAACATCTGCCAGAGCAGAGAGAGGAAATTCAGGCCAGAGCCTCTGACCGTGGCCCCTCAAACCACGCGACTGCAGCCCAGCGGCTCAGCTTCCTGTGCGATCTCACAGCCCAGCCCCCCAACCCCCTGCCCGCGCCTTCATCGTCTCCTCTCACTCAGGCACGATGGAGGACGAGGAGGGCTACACGGCATTGAACCTGCGGCCCAAGAGGGGCGGCTCGGGAGGCCCCTCCCCACCCGGGAACCAAGGTAGCGATTTCAACCCCCTCCTCCCCACCTACGGGCCCCATGTCCTGGCCCAGAGACGGGCCAGGGGCCGGCAGAGTCTGGCTATGTGGTTATATCACGGGGTGGGGGCGGAGTAGCGCCCCGGACAGAGGTAAATAGCGTGGGGGATCCACAAAGTGACAGAGCAAGAGTGAGAGCGCTCATGGGGAGCTTTCCCCTCTGGAAGCCAAAAAGATGGGTCAATAGGGGGAAACTGAGGCACAGATAAGGGAGAAAATCTTTCACAAGGACACACCCACTAGACCCCATTCCCCTCCCCGAGATGGGAATACAGCCCAGGCATCCTGGCTCCCAGCCTGCCCCGCTCTGACCCACTAGACCCCACTGCCTTGCCAGGTTTGAGGCTATAACACAGGAGTCCTAGCTCCCAGACACATCCTGCTCCAACCACTAAACCCCACTCCCCTCCCAGAGCCAGCGATAGAACCCAGGCATCCTGGGCCCCAGGCCCCGCTGCTCTAACCCATTAACCCTCACTCCCTTCCAAGGGTGGGGGCTAGAACCCAGGAGTCCTGGCTCCCAGCCCCACGGCTCCAACCTACTAGACTTCGTTTCCTGCTCATATCTGGTCGGTTTCAGAGGAGCAGCCGTGTTAGTCTGTATTCGCAAAAAGAAAAGGAGGACTTGTGGCACCTTAGAGACTAACCAATTTATTTGAGCATGAGCTTTCGTGAGCTACAGCTCACTTCATCGGCTGCATCTGGTGGGGTTTGCAGAGCTTTCAAAACAGGGGTTTTTGCAATTCATGGAGCAGGGTGCATGCAATTGGTGCAGGCTCTCTCCAAAGTCAGGCAGTGTTGCTGTAACAGTAACACTTGGGGGTCACATTTTCAATCTTTTCTCCCCTTCTGTGAGGGCTGAAAACTGCCTTTCTCTTCTAAATGAAAGCTGAGACCCTGGTACAATCACCTGACTCCTGGAGCTTGGGCCTGAGGCCAGGATCTAGAGTGGCCTTAATTCAGCCCGGCTCTGCTTGTGTTTCCTTACAGGTTCCCGTCAGTGTCCTGGCTGGCTTCAGGTCGCTCTAGGGGCTGGGAATCTCATCCTGTCTCTGCTCTCGCTGGCGGTTTGTGGTGAGTCACCAAGGGCTGTAGCTTTATCTGTCTGGGTGCGTCAGTCGGCAGCGTGGATGCGACACTGGGGGAGGGGCAGCCAGTGACATTGAGAGGCAGCACATTTAAAACGGATGCTCAGTCACAATGAGCCTGTGGAACTCACTGCCACAGGATCTCACTGGCGCCATGAGCTTAGCAGGGCTCAGTGAAGGATCAGGACACATATAAGAGGAACAAGACCAGCCAGAGGGCCAGGAAGTATCCAAGTGCTTTGGCAGGGGCTATAAACCCTCCTGCTTCAGGGCATCAATGAGCCTCTAAGTGATGGGCAGGAAGGGTCTAAGTTGGGGGACAAGGTATCATTGTCCGTTAGGGGCTGTCTTGCTCCTTGCTCAGAAGTAGCTGGGGCTGTCCAGCCTTGGAGGTGGGCTCCCGGGTTAGATAGGCCCCAGGTCTGATTCAGTCTGGCCATCCCCATGCAGCCTGTTTTGGGGGATGTTTGGAGGGTGAGAATGGGTGGAAACACGATCTGGGTTTGCAAAGAAGCCCAAGGGATTTGGGCACCTAGTTCCCAGTGATTTTCAATCCCGGACACTTTTTCAGACCGTGTCCCTTTGGGGTTTCTCCCAAGCCCATGGGAGGCAGTGGCAATGGGGCAGAAGAGGCTCTGGGGCAGGTCCTGTGTCTCTGCAGGCCTCTGTGCTGGTGCTTTTACCAGCAACTCCCACAACATTGACCGGGCGCCCTCACTCCCACCGACGCTGCTTTGCAGTTTCCCTCTTGGTGTCCGAGAAGGGACAGACCCCGGCAGCCCCTGGGAGCGACGGAGCTGGGAGCAGGGACCCCAGCACGGCAGAATGCAGCGCCCGCCTGGAGCGTTTCCGATCCCAGCTGTGCCCCCCGGCCCAGCCCGGCCCAGCTGGTAACCCCAGCTCGTGTGTCTCTGAGCCGCCCTCCGCCCCGGGCACGGCCAGTGGAAACCCAGCGGCCGTCCCAGCCCGTGGGGATCCTGCAGGGCAGGGACACGCCGCCCCCTGCTGGCTGCACCCATCTAGCCACCAGCCCCGCTGGGTGCCAGGCGAGGAATATGAATGGACGTCCTCCGCTGGGACTGTGCACGGGGCAGCAACATCTACTGGCCGTTCAGGTTAATACACAGCCACGAAGATTTTAACAACAATGTAATAGAAAAAAACAACCAGGAGTCCGGTGGCACTTTAAAGATGAACAGATTTATTTGGGCAACAGCTTTCGTGGGTAAAAAACCCACTTCTTCAGATGCACGGAGTGAACATTGTTGTCTACTCTGTCCCCATATCTACTCTGTTGACATCATCAGAGGACCCAACCCCGTCAGCCACACCATCAGGGGCTCATTCACCTGCACATCTACTAATGTGATATATGCCATCATGTGCCAGCTATGCCCTTCTGCCATGTACATTGGCCAAACCGGAGAGTATCTATGTAAAAGAAGAAATGGACACACATCGGACATCAGGAACGGTAACATGCAAAAGCCAGCAGGAGAACACTTCAATCTCCCTGGACATTCGATAACAGATTTCAAAGTAGCCATCCTGCAACAAAAAACCTTCAGAAACAGACTTCAAAGAGAAACTGCAGAACTAAAATTCATTTGCAAATTTAACACCATTAATTTGGGCTTGAATAGGGCCTGGGAGTGGCTGGCTCACTACAAAAACAACTTTCCCTCTCCTGGAATTGACACCTCCTCATCAGTTATTGGGAGTGGACCACATCCCCCGTGATCGAATTGGCCCTGTCCACACTGGTTCTCCCCTTGTGAGGTAACTCCCTTCTCTTCATGTGTCAGTATAATAATGCCTGCATCTGTAAGTTTCACTCCATGCATCTGAAGAAGTGGGTTTTTCCCTACGAAAGTTTATGCCCAAATAAATCTGTTAGTCTTTAATTTGCCACCGGACTCTGCATTATTTCTGTGGATATAGACTAACACGGCGACCCCCTGAGACTTGACACAACGTAATACAAAGCTGTCCAATTTTTTTCAGTGTGTGTGGGGGGGTTTCACATCTTATTAGTGAGATTGTCTTACGGTCCCACCCACTCCCATTCCCTGGCATCTGGGCCCCATGTCCCCTCCCATTCCCCATCACCCCTGGATCCCAGCCTCCGCTCCTCTTCCCTGTTTCACACCACCCCTTCCCTCCAGTTACTCCAAGAACCTACTAGGCCATTCTGGCAGTCTAAAGGGGGCTTAAAGTGGGTACATTGACCCCTGAGAATCTCCCCTGTCCTGGAGGGGACCTCTCCGGCTGGTGTGGAGCTGGGGTAAGGGCCCTCACCCACCCTGTTCCCAACCCCCACAAAGGGGGGCAGATTGGTAGTGTGCCTAGAGTGCAGTGCGCTGTGGGTCTTCTCTGCTCCCCAGGGCCCAAATGGGAGCAATGGATAAGGCAGAGCAGCCCCGAGGCTGCTCTAACTGACAGCAGGAGCCAGGCAGGGCCTGGCCCAGCCCCAGATTTCAGGGAGCACAAAGGGGACTCAAGCCCATTTGAACCCCGTTCCTGCCCCAGTCGCAGGAAGGGAGTAGCCGGGAATGAGGCCCAGAGGGCTCAGAGCATTAATGAATCCTGTCTCCCTGCAGGGAGCTCCGGGTGCAAACTCTGCCCCACGGACTGGCAGCTGCGTGGGGACAAGTGCTACTGGGTCTCCAGAGGAGGTGACATGTGGAGCGAGAGCCGCGCCGACTGCTCAGTGAGGGGGTCCCAGCTGCTGGTGATCCAGGACCCCAAGGAGCTGGTAAAGGGGATGATCCCTTCCTGCTGGAGCTGCCCCTGCAGGCCTGGGCCCTGGGTACAGAGTCCAAGGGCGTGCATAGGTTACATGGTAGGGCTGGGATTTTCAAAGCTGCTTGGGGGATTTGGACACCCTGTTCCCATTGTTAATAATGGGGTGTCCAAACCCTCTATGTGGCTTTGACAATCCCAGCCTAAATCACTAGCCTCAGGATCAGGGGCACACAAAGGCAGTTTAAAGCCACCGATACCCTCCTCCTTCCGGGGTGTGCCCAACCCAGCTCAGCTGGAGAGAGGGGCTGGGGGTGTGTGAGGCTGGGTGGCTACAGAGAGAGGGTGGATGGATGGATGGATGGATGGATAAAGGGGTGTATATGGGGGATAGTTGGGTAGCTAGATGGGTGTGTATGGGGACAGATGTATGGGGATGGATAATGGGTGTGTATACGGATAGATGGACAGACAGAGAGACAGAGGTTCTGGTCCTGAAGTTGTCGACAACCTGGATTCACAAGAAAAGAGCCCGACAGCACATCTGGTCACCAGCTGCCTGTCCCACAATCCCTGCAGGAGTTCCTAAAGGACCTGACACAAGGTTCAAATCAGTTCTGGGTCGGACTGTCCGTCTCCTCCCCGGAGAAGGCCTGGACCTGGGTGGGCGGCTCCCCGCTGAATCAGACCCTGTGAGTGATTTCTTGAGTCAAACACTTTTCCTCCCCTCTGTGGGCAGCAGGGGCCAGGGTCTGGGATTGGGGAGGTTTTGGGGGGAAGGTTTGGAGCTCAGGGGCAGCTGTGTACAGTGTCAGACGATGCTGAGACCCCAGGAGGGGAGCTGGGGAGCCCGGATGAGAGGGGGGCTGGGTGGGAGTAGACAGGGCCATGGGGCAGGGAGAGATTTGTGCATCCCCCAGCACAGAGATGGTGGCTGGAGCCCTGGGGGCGGGGGAGGTGGTCCAGAGACGGGGTGTGGAGGGAGAAGAGCAAAGGGGCCAGGCCAGAGCCCTGGGGATCCCCCAGACAATGGGGCAGGGGGGAGGGGGAGACACAGAGCCGCCAGAGAGGCAGGAGGGGATCAGGAGGGGGCAGCGTCGGCCCAGCCCGGTGGGGAGGGGACAAGGAGCAGGGGAGGGAGATGGACAGGGTCTAGCCCAGCAGGGAGGAGGAGGCTGGAGCAGGTCCCTGGGCTCTGGGCAGGGAGAGGCCGTTCGAGACCCTGGCCAGGGCCCTGACAGTGGGGAGAGGGGGCAGCCCCAGGGCAGAGCTGGAAGAGACGATGGCTGCGGATCCCGTTGGAACAGGGAAGAGCCGCTACCGACTGCGTGTGATGGACCCACACGCGCTGACAGGGGCCCTCTCCTTTGTCCCGCAGGTTCCCGGTGTCAGGCCCGGCTGAGGGGAACAGCTGTGGGGTGGTGAACAGGAATCGGATTCGTTCTGACACCTGCAGCTCTGTACTTCGGTGGATCTGCCAGAGAGACGCCGTCCCGCTCTGAGCAGGGCATCCATGGCCCTTTAATAATGGAAAGGAGCCTTTCATGAATAAAAGCATCTTTGACACTTTATAGACTGCCTGTCATGTGAGGATTTCAAAGCACCTCCCAGCGCTTAGTCAGACTCATCATCCCCATTACGTGGCTGAGGAAACTGAGGCACCGACAGCAGAATCGACCTGGGTAGGGTTGCCCAGAGAGTCAGTTGCAAAGCTAGGAATTATGCCCCCAACCCTGGACGCCCAGTCCCCCTACTCTAACCCACTAGACCCCCCACCCTTTGCGTAGAGCTAGGAGACAACCCAGCAATCCTGACACCCATCCCCCCAGCTCTAACTCTTTAGGCCCCACTCCCCTCCCAGAGCTGGGGATAGACTCCTACACTAACAATGGGGCAGCTGCCCCCTCTCAGCGCAGTTGTCTCAGGCTCCCGGCAGACTCAGGCAGCGTTGCTGGGTCAGTTCCTCCGGCGGAGCTCACACCTGTCAGGGCGGCTGGCTCAGGCTCTCAGCAGACTGAGGTGCTAATGGCCCACAGGAGCTGGGGCCCTGGGCTCGGCGCCACACGGGAGCCCTGGTTACACCCTCCTGCCTTTGAAGATCTGAGCTTTGTTTTCCTGGCCACGTTAACACCCTTTGGGGGGATCTTGTTGGGGGCAGCTGTACTGAGCACAGTCAGGCTTTGGGGGCACCAGCAAGCTCAGCTCCACTGTAAGGAGATTTCTGAAAGGCGCAGGACTCGGAAAGGGCAGATTTTGGGAACGTGGGGGGCTGCCGTGTCACAATCTGCCTGGGGACAAGGCATGAAATTGTCCCTGCAGCTGTGTAAAGGGGACGACGATCCCTCCCTGGGGGGCAGAGGTTGGCCATCGCTGTGGGTGAGGGGCTCAGAGGCTCAAGTAACGGGAGCCAGCTAAGCCCCTGGACAGACTGTGCCCCTCACCCCGGTATCAGGGCGGCTGCAGCTGCCAGGGGGTTGGGGCGTCCGTGGCTGGCTGGGAGTGCTGTTGCGGCTGAGCCAGCATCCTTCCGAGCAGGGGGGGCGGAGCTGAGGCCGGTGGGGCTGACCAGCCCCCTGCCACCCACACATGTCCGAGGCAGTGACTCAGTTTCCTGTGCAGTCTCACACCTGGGCCCCTCTCAGAGGTGCGGATGCTTCCGCTCCAGCAGGAGGGCAGCCCTGCCCCACGCTCTGCCTGGGGACGATGCAGGATGAGGAGGGTGAAATGGGGCTGGGCAGCCCGTCCGCAGCTGGGAACCAAGGTAGTGACTGTAACCCCCTGCCCTCCCCGCCATGGGATCCATGTCCCAGCAGTAGGGTCGGGTCAGGGCTGGGGAGCGGCAGGGTCTGCATGGAGCTGGGATATTTTGGGCATAGGACAGATGAGAGGGTTTGATCCTACTGATCCCAGCTCCCCTCTGAGCACCTGACTCCCAGCCCTCCATGCTCTAACCCACTGCACCCCACTCCTCCCCCAGAAGGGGGATAAAACCCAGGCCCCTTGCCCCCCCCCCTGCAATTCTACCCACTATATCCCATTGCTCCCACCACCTCTCATTATTGGAATTAGCGGGATCACTACCAGGAGTCAAGGCTGCAGGATCAGCCCTACAGGTGCAGAGACCCAGCAGAGGTGTGAGACTTGGGGTGCTGTTTATTTGTGGGGACTGCAGAACTAGCCTGAGCTCATGACCGATGAACAACTGTGTGTGTGGAAGGGAGGACTAGTGGTTAGAGCACCCGGCCGGGACTTACAGTTCCCTTCCTGGCTGAGCCACACACCCCGGGTGACCTTGGGCAAGTCTCTTCATTTCTCGGGGCTGCAGCTCCCCATCTGTAAAATGGGAGTAAAGATCCTTCCTTCATCTTGCCAGTTTGTGAGCAGCCAGGGGCAGGGGACTGTCTCTCGCTGTGTGTCTGGGCAGCGCCTGGCACCACGGGGCCCTGATCTCAGCTGGGGCAGGGACGGTCTCTCCCTGTGTGTCTGGGCAGCGCCCGGCACTGCTGGGCCCTGATCTCAGCTGGGGTCTCTCACCTCTACTGTTGTAATAATGGAATTTGTTTCCCCCCTGCAAATTAAAAGAGACAGATCTGCAAGTGGTGTAAATCAGGATAATTTCTCGTGAAGTCAATGCACTTGGAGTATTTCTCACAGCTGGGCTCTGGCCCCATGGACTGCCGCGGGGCTACGGCTGATTGACAGCAACGGGATCTGGCACGGAGCGTTTAAGGCTAGAAAATGTGTATCTGTGGAGCCTGGTTGGTTGACAGCAGCTGAGGATCGTCCTCCAATGCTAGCAGTGAAATAATCCACCATGAGCCTTCCCCCGCAGCTGCTGACCCTGCGTCCCCAACTCTCACTGTTCCAGCTCCCTGCAGGTGCAGACGCTGCTTAGTGGCACTGGGCGCCGGGTGGGTCACTCTGATCTTGGCTGTGATCGTGCTGAGCCGTGTGGGTAAGTGCCTGGGAACAGACTCCCTGCGGCCCGGTCTCTGGGCCTAGAGATTACTGACAGATCCAATGTGTCCCATGTCTTTCTGCCCTGAGTTCTGCCTGAGGAACGCAGGATCGGGCCCTGTGTGTTCTGTACTCCCCCAGCGTCCCCTGCAATCACTGGTCCCACGCCCCCGTCACGGACGGGGGAAGTGTCCCACACACAGGATCCAACCATCAGCTCCGGTGATAGACTCAAAGTATCCAGGTGTGAGATCTTTCACTCTGACAGGGGCATGTTCCACATAATTCACTTCTCATTCGGTTAATGCAGCACCCAGCAGGATTGTTGTTGGTATCTGGTTTACATGTTTCTAGGCAAAACGCATTTTAATAGAAAAATGGCCTTTTTTCTGAATTGAAAATTTTGGCAAAACTTTTTATCAAAATATTTTTGGAAATTTTTCTTTTATTGTTCATCGCTTTTTCCTTATTTTCCTTTTTAATATAATTTCTCGAACCCGCCCACCCCCTTTCTTTAAAAAAATCCCTGTTTCTTTTTGGAAATGACATGCAAAAAAGGAAAGATGGGGAATGAAATACATGGGAAAAAAGAAAAACAAAAGCACCAAAATAAAAAAGGCAAATTAAAATAAAACCACAAAAACCCGTTAAAAACACTTTAAAATCAACAGCATGAAAAAAAGGAAAGCTTCCAAGCAACTGGACCCCTCCACCGGAAATAACACAAAAAAAATCAACCCTCTCTCAAAAAATGAAGGAAAAAAGGGAAAAAAAACTTTGACCTTCTCCAAATCTCCTCCCAAAATATCCAAAAACAAGGGGGAAAAAATGAACCAAAGAAAAAAAAATGAGTAAAACAAAAAATCCCCCAATACAGAAAACGCCAGCAAAAACAAAGGAAGACCTTTGCCCCTCAAAACCTCAAGAAACAACAAGGAAGAAAAATGAAAAAAATTCAGAAACGTTTCACTAAAACTTGAAAATTGGGTCCATTTTGTACCCTGCAAAAATGGAAACAACTTCAAAATGTTGAATTTTTTGCCCTGCTCTGTTGCTTTGCTAGTCCACAGCCGGGGGAGCCCAAGTTAACTAAGGGCTTGCCAAGCACAGAGGTGCAAACTTCCCTGCTCTTGACAACAACCCTCTTGCGGGAGGTGGGCTGCTACAGCCATGAACGATTCCAGGCTATCGGGGCAGGTTTGCCTGAGCAGTGACGATGCTTCCACTAGAGCTGGTGGCAAGTGAGGTTCGTGGCAGCAATCGGAGCTGGAGGGGGACGTGGGTGTAGAATTTGCCTGCAGTAGAAAAGACTGAACATGGAATTTTGTACAGGGACGTGACAATTCCTCACAGTGAAACCCCGTTGGCTTGCAACCTGTGCCATGTGTTGGGGAATCCAGATCCCTCCCAATCCCCATCTGCCCTGGAGTCATAGAATCATAGAAGATTAGGGTTGGAAGAGACGTCAGGAGGTCATCTAGTCTAACCCCCTGCTCAAAGAGTCCCCTGCATCTGAGCTGTGTCATCCCATGGGGGGGGAGGGATAGCTCAGTGGTTTGAGCTTTGGCCTGCTAAACACAGGGTTGTGAGTTCAATCCTTGAGGGGGCCACTTAGGGACATGGGGCAAAAATTGGGGATTGGTCCTGCTTTGAGCCAGGGGGTTGGACTAGACGACCTCCTGAGGTCCCTTCCAACCCTGATATTCTATGATTCTATGACACTGCCAGGTTGGTTCCTAACTCCCATTAACGCAGATACTCTTCGGAAGGTTTCCAGGGCTATTCCCAGGAACATCAGACCGTGCCGGCCTCGCGTGGCCCGGAGGATGAAGGTGATGCCCAGAGAGCAGGAAATGGAACAGAAGGCAGCTGCAGCCTGCAGGATTTCCGCCGTCACCTGAGCCGGAGGCTGTGTGGGCTGCCGCAGAGCAGCTCAGCAGGTAACCTCAGCTCCCCCTGCCTCTGCGCTGCTGGGCATGTTTGGGGGTGTTGAGGATGTGGTTTTGCAGCAGCAACATCTGGTGACCAGCCAAGGAAGGTCTAAGGTGAAATAGCGTCGTCATGACACAGTATAATAATCTCCTACTCAGAGCATTTCTGTCCCAAAGTACCTGCTAAACGGCCTGTGGGGATCAAGCCACCCAGCACTGAAATGCAGCCACCTCTGGGGTGGGTAGCAGCATCTGCTCAGGGTGTGAAAGATTCATCTTCCAATTGAAGCTTCCAGGGGGATTTTTGGAGGCAAACTGGAACCACCTGAGGTTGGATTTAGCCAGGAGATCGGGGTTAACGTTTCCAGCTCATGGGGAAACTGCTAGGGGATCTCTCGTTACGAGGAGGGGTTAGGACCTTGGTTTTACATCCTGAGAGAGATGAAACATCTGGCAGCACAGCGCCCTCTAGTGCCATGCTGGGGTGCTGGGGTCAGCCCTGACTGCCAGGGCGGAGAGCCCCCTACTGAGCCCCCCCACCCTGTTCCTTGCAGCACAGCACCCCCTAGTGCCACACTGGGGCATCGAGCCCAGCATTAACTGTGTAGGGAGGAGACCCCCTATCGAGCCCCCTACCCACTCCCAGCAGCACAGCGCCCCTAGTGGTACACTGGGGTATCAGTGTCATCGAGGCAGAGCACCCTTTTGCATTCCAGTCCTGCCCGCACGAGGCCAACGCGCTCCACTTCATCTCACTGACATAGAGTGTGACATGTCCGGTATCTCTGTAGTGGGGGGTCAGCCCTGTTCAGAACAATCAGCCCCCTTAACGACCTCTTTGTTTCGTTTCCCCCTCCAGAGGGCTCCGGGTGCAAACTCTGCCCCAGGCACTGGGTGCCGCACAGGGACAAGTGCTACCGGCTGTCTGAAGAGAATCAGTTCTGGAGCCGGGGCCGTGATGACTGCGCACGGAGGGGATCTCATCTGCTAGTGATCCAGGACCGGGAGGAGTTGGTAAAGAAAGTGCTAAACTTCACCGTATTTGTGACCTTGTGAATGAGAGCAGGTCAAAAATCCCTTTTTATTTTTCCAGCAACAAACTTTTGAAAGTAAAATTTTCATTCACAATTTTTCTGTTTTTCACAGGAAAAATTTAAAGTGAAATGAAATGTTTGTTTTTTTTCAGAATTTCAGCAGATAGTCTCCATTTATTTTTAATCAATTTTTAACCATTTAAATGTTCAGTTGTGCAGAATGATGGATTTGAAGTATATTTTATCCATTTTTATTGCTGTAAATTTCCATGGTTGTGGGAGATCATGGGGTGGGGTCAGACACTGGGCAGGGAGGTCGGACCATAATTAGTTAATGACAGTAGCTGTTGAGATTCAAAGAGGTTCAGCTTTGTAACCGTCAACATAGCCAAATTAAGAATCCTTAAATCAAACTCTAAGTTCTTAAGCAACATTTTTCTTACCTTGCCTCTCTGTAAATTTTGATTATTGTCCGTGGAAATATTTGTCATCAGTTTGTGTGTGTACGGTGAAGTCGACGTTTGCTGATAAAAATCGAATTGTCCCAAGCCTATATATTTAGGCTTGGAACTATTATACAAATTTTTATATAAATAAATACATTATATATATACAAATAAATAATAATAATTATATAAATAAATACATTAATAGTAGATCCCAAAACATTTTACAGTGTTAAAAGGATTAGGTGCAAACTGGAGACAGGAATCACTCAGCTATCGCTGGGATGCGGCTACTTCTGGGGTGGGGCAGCTAGGTAACAGCTGTATGGCAATGCTGCACAGGGTTTGTTCCCTTGGTACAGAATCCGATATGGAAAGAGGGGCAGTCGGTGGATAACAGCTGACATGTTTGCCCAGGGCTGAAATGCTTTAAATCATTTATTAGAGCTGTGTTAAAAAAAAAAAGCCAGCACAAAAAAAGTGTAGAAATTTTCATTCAAAAGCATTGAGAATGTTTCCTGATGTTCACTGAAAACGATGAACAAAATTCATCACCATCTTGGTGGAGGGGAACAGGACTGACTCAGTTATTAGTTAATAGGATAAATTGTTTGTTGTGTTTACTTTCAGTTGGAGTTTCATCTGGTTCTGGCTTGTCGCCGGTATTCATGATCAAAACCCAAACTAGGGATCAGGTCTCATTCGCGTCGTGAGCAAAGGAGTCAGAGAATTCTAGCTTGTTCTGTTCCCTCTGACACCTTGTCCATTTCACAGGAGTTCATACAGAATATTATACCAGAACAAAATCAGGTGTGGATTGGACTCAACATCACATCCCCAGGGAGGACGTGGACCTGGGTGGATGGTTCTCCGTTCAATCAAACACCGTGAGTGTTTCCTGATAAGTTTTTTACATCAGTCTGCAATAAATACATAGGGTGAGACCGTGGGCCCCATTAAAGTCAAGGGCAAACCTGCTGTTGGCCTCCATGGGGCAGGGATTAGACCAGAGGTGGTAAACGACGGCCCGCAGGCCACGTCTGGCCTGCCGGACCATCCTGCCCGGCCCTCGAGCTCCCGGCCTGGGAGGCTCGCCCCCCGGCCCCTCCCCAGCTGCCCCCCTCCGCCGCAGCCTCAGCGCTCCGGGCTGCGAGCTCCTGCCGGGCGGTGTGGCTGCGAGATGGTGCGGCGGTGTGGCTGGCTCCGGCTGGGCCGTGCAGCTGCTGGTGTCGTGTATTAAACTGCTCCCCGTAGGACTTTGCTTCTGGTAGCAGTTACCGATAAGTAGCGTTGTAAGAAACTGCTCTCTGTAGTAGTTATTGGTATGTGTAGCTTGTAAGAAACTGCTGTTGTAAAAAAACTTTAATTTAATACACGACACCAGTCCTGGTGCTCTGAGCGGCATGGTAAGGTGGTGGGGGGAGGTTGGATAAGGGGCAGGGGGTGCTTGGGGGCGACCGGGGACAGGGAGCAGGAGCCAATTGGATGAGGCTGAGGTTCTGTGGGGGGGAGCAATCAGGAAATGGGGAACGGGGGGGTTGGATAGCTGTGGGAGTCCCGGGGGGCCTGTCAGGGGGCAGGGGTGTGGATAGGGGTCGGGGCAGTCAGGGAACAGCGGGGGTTGGATAGGGGGTGGGGTCCCGGGAGGGGGCTGTCAGGGGACAAGGAGCAGGGCAGGTTGGATGGGTCAGAGGCTCTGAGGGGGGCAGTCAGGGGGCGGGAAGTGGGAGGGGGTGAATAGGGGGTGGGGGCCAGGCTGTTTGGGGAGGCAGAGCCTCGGCCCTCCATACAGTTTTGCAACCCCAATATGGTTCTCAGGCCAAAAAGTTTGCCCACCCCTGGATTAGACCCACAAATCTTACAGTGTAAGGGCCTCAATCCTGGAAACACACATGGGCTTACCTTAAAATCTCTCACTGAAGTCAATGGCAGTATGCGTGGGAGGAAAGCTAAGCAAATGCATACATGTTTGCAGGATGAGGGTCTCTGTTTGCATGGCCCCATCGCTCCTGGGCAGAACTGGTTACAAAATGGGGAGAAACACGATCTTTTCAATCTTTTCTTGTTTTTTGTCAACATCTGAGATTTCAAAATTCAAAAGCTGATCAGTTTCAAAACTGAGAACGTGCCAACTGCCTCCATAGATGGTCAAACAACTAGGTCAAAAAGCCACTCCGAATTCATCAAAACTTCCCCGTTTTTTCACTGAAATTTGAAATTGACTCAACTTTTCATGTAAGTTTCAAAGCTGAACATTTGCATCTGTTCTAAAGATTGGCCTCTCTGCCCTAGCGCTCTGATTCATCACTTTGCTGCAAGTTTCTGTGCCAAGTACATCTCTCCACCAGGTCTGGATTTGAACATATCAACTTGTTTCATGTATCAGCCTATTTGGGGAAGGACTAGAGATGACGGCTGGAACCCCGGCATCCTGGAAGGAAGGAGAAGAGCTGCCATAGACCCTCTTCCCCACCTCTAAACCCGCTGATTGTGACTGCCTCCTTCCTCCTTTCACAGATTCCTGGTATCGGGTCCTGCTGAAGAGAACAGCTGCGCTGCAATACAGAAGAATCGGATCCAGTCTGAAATCTGCAACACTGACTGTAAATGGATTTGCCAAAAGGAAGCTGTGCCCATTTAAACGGGTGGATTGGCGACCTCCATATAAAGAATGCAGAACATCCTGTGTTCTCATCTTTATTTCAGCTACCAAAGCCCCAGGCAGTGTAAATCTGGGTAATGCCGAGAAAGTGAATGGCGCAAGGCTGATTTACACCCATTGGGGGTCTGGGCCCATTGACTCTAATGGAGTTACGGCCAGTTCACACCAGCTGGGAATCTGGCCCTTTGATTATTTTAAAAATAAATAAATCTATAATTTTTTCCACAGTGCTTCTAATATTGTCTGCAGAGTATTCAAAGATTCCTGGGACATTACTGTATACATTACGGTAACGCCTAGAGGCCCCAGCTGAGATCAGGGCCCCATCATGCCGGGCGCTGCCCAGACACACAGGGAGAGACTGTCCCTGCCCCAGCTGAGATCAGGGCCCCGTGGTGCCGGGCGCTGCCCAGACACCCAGCGAGAGCCAGTCCCTGCTCAGGAACAGAAATTTTTTTCTGTAAAAATGTTTTCCATTTTCAGGGGGAAAAAATGGATTCTCTTCAGTTTTCAAAATCTGAACTTTTTTTGTAACTGAAAATGGAACATTTTTATTGAAAATGGAAAAGTTTTCCCCCCAAAATGTCTGATTTCCACTTTTTCAAGGGGAAAAAAACCCACAATTTTTGTGGGAAACTGGCTTTTGTTTTCTGTCGTTTCAAGGAAACACCAGAAAATTTTGACCAAAGCAAAAATTCGCTGGGAACAGGTTTGATGTGGTTGAAAAGCCGTTCGTCACTGGGAAAGAAATTTAGGCCAAACATTTTCAAAAAAGGTCCGCTATTTATAGCAGTGTCATTTCATAACCCCTGTGAAGGTCGTTCCCTGTCTCCATCTCCTGCCCTCCTCCCCACCCCCAGCCGCATGCTAAAGTGACAAGAAAATTCACTAATCACGTTGTATAGCAGAAAACTCAGAGCGGGACAATTCAGCTTTACCTCCGCTGGAGAGAATTATTGCAGGATCCATTCACTGTTTTATCCGCTTGTCATCCCGGGTGACTATGTACCAATGGAGGGAGCGTGGCCAGTGTTGTAATAAATACACAACCATAGCAGCTATGATCTGTTTAACCCTTTTATTCTGTGCAATGACTGGAACTCATGAAGTCCAGCACCTGGTCACTATTCCCAGTTCGACGCCTCTTTTGTTCATGGAGAGAGCCATTTAACAGATTTAAGAATAACACCATTGGACAGTCATATCCTTGCATTTCAGGGTAATTTCTTACCTACATGCCTCCAGCTTTTTTCTCCATCGTGGCTGATGGAGAAGTGATTTTTTCCCCCACCATTTTAATCAACATTTGCAGTGGAAACTTTCCTCTTCTTGTGCATCCTCCCCACTCAAAATCTTCCCCCGCCCCACCCCCAATTGCAACCATTTCTTTTCAGGGGGGATTTTTCATTGGGGGGACAAACATTCCAAACTTTTCGAGGAAAGCGGCTGCTTTCTGCCCAAAAATAAAATAAAAATTCATGGTAGTGAAAACACTGTGATGGAAACCTGTCCACCCACCCTCTTTTCGAGCTCATTTCCGCCTCTTGATCTAAAATTGCTACACAGGCTTTTGACAGCTGGCTGCTGTGGGCAGCCCCCTCAAAGACCATTGATTCTCCGAGCACAGACAAAAGCAGAGGGGCAGGATCTCGACACAAGCCTGCTCGCACTGGCTCTGTATGGCTCCAGATTGGCATTTGCTGCCTCACTGAGTTCGGATCTGCACTGAATCGGAGTCGGGTGGAGCAGCCAACTCTCCGGGCACTTTTGAAAAGAGCAGCAGGGGCAGAAGGTACAAATTATTCCGCCATTCGCCAAAGCTCAGGCAGTGGTCAGAAGGTGGCAGGTTTCAACCGACACAATATTTCCTGGTGGAGGCGTGTTCATGTTAGCTCCCACACGGCTAGGACGGTGCCTTCGCACGCAGCTGTTGCCTTTGCTGGCCATGGCTGATGGAGAAGTCTATGATTTTGTAAACCACCCGGCAGGCTCTCTGCCCAGCCACGCGTCGGCCCCGGCTCAGCATCACAGTGAGTGCCTTTCCCTTTGTGGCGTTTTTTCAGGGGTGTGGATTTTGGGAGGCTGGGATTCCACTTTTGCGACTGTAATGTTGATAAATAGCAGGTCTAACAATGCACGAGGGGTGAGATCCCCATCTGGTGCAAGCGGGCATAGCTTCACTGACTTCAATGCATTAAGTCCGGATTTACACCAGGGTCACGGAGATCAGAATTTGGTCCTAACTCCACTGACTTCAGAGGGGTTGCTCTGGATTTACCTCTGGTCACTGAGATCAAAACCCAGCCCTGGCCCCATTCATTGCAGTGGAGTCACTCCGGATTTGGAACAGGGTCACTGAGATCAGAATCCAGCCCTGACTCAATTCATTGCAGTGGAGTCACTCCGGATTTGGAACAGGGTCACTGAGATCAGAATCCAGCCCTGACTCAATTCATTGCAGTGGAGTCACTCTGGATTTGGAACAGGGTCACTGAGATCAGAATCCAGCCCTGACTCAATTAATTGCAGTGGAGTCACTCTGGATTTGGAACAGGGTCACTGAGATCAGAATCCAGCCCTGACTCAATTCATTGCGGTGGAGTCACTCCGGATTTGGAACAGGGTCACTGAGATCAGAATCCAGCCCTGACTCAATTCATTGCAGTGGAGTCACTCTGGATTTGGAACAGGGTCACTGAGATCTGAAACCAGCCCTGACTATGAAAGAAAATAACCTGAAGACAATCTAATGTCTTTTTCAAATCAGCTTCATCAAACCCAGCATCCAAAACACTAAGATGTGTTCATCCTAATTGCATATTTATTTCATGGCATCACTACAGGGCAGATGTAAGTTGTGTGACTGCCTCAATTGTGCATTTCCAGACCAAGACTCCTTTTCAGGGTAACCTTAACTCTCAATTTTGGGGCATGCTTGGTGGTAGGAGGATTATAACACCCCTGGAATGCGTTTACCATTAAATTAAGGATAAAATATACACTCCACCTTCACATTGATTTTTGTCTGAGCATCACTATGCAGGGCCAGATAATCAACAGGTGCAAATCAGCTCTGTAGACTACGGTGGCGTTTCACTGATTTGCACCAGCTGGGGGTCTGGGTTTAGGTTAGGCTATATTTCCAAGATCACGGCTTTTATCATTTATACTCAGGTAAAGGAGAAAATCCCGGGAAATTTTCATTTTTAGGAGAGGGTTCGTGAGACTGGACATTTTAGTAAAAGGGGTTTGCGGGTTGTTAACGTTTGGGAACTACTGCTCTAGCCGGTCGGAGAAGGTCAGCGTAATGACTTGTTTCTGGGCTGGTAAACGAGACAGTGTCTCTGAACCCTTCCAAACCAGTCACAGTCTAAGAGCCAGATTGGCACTGGTGTAAATCCTGGTTGCCACTGGGGTGTACAGGGCTTTGCTGATTTATAGCAGCTGAGCATCTGGCCTTTATGCCTTGATTTATTTATTTACTTTCCCCCAATCTTCACCACCCAAGTGGGGCCAAAATTGGAGGGGGGTTCTCCCTTTTTGGGGGCCCCCCCCGGTGGGTGGGTTTGGGGGGAGCCCAGCGCATTGGGTTGGGATCCGAAACACCCCCCCCCTCCCACCGCCCCTCCCGGGGTGGTGGGGTGGGTTGGATTGGGAGGACCCCCCCCCCCCCACACCGCGCGCGGTGTGTGGGTGGTGGGGCGCTGGGCCTCTCCCCCCCGGGGGCCCGGGGGGTGGGTGCGCTGCTGGTGTGGGTTTGTTGTGCTTACTTTTCCATCCAAAAACTCCAGTTCGCTGTGGGCGTAGTGAGAGCAATACACAGTGGGTCACAGTATATGGTACAGCTCTGCCCTCCTCTGCCGTCACATTGCCCACCTGGAGTGCGGTCGACACATACTGAGACCAAGAGAAAGGAGCAGGGAGGCCCAGGGGGGAAGGACACTTGGAAGACCTGCGTTTAAGTCCTTTATTGCACTCGACCTGTATCGTCTTGAGCTAGGCACGTAGGGTCAACTTCCACAGCTACTTAGGTGCCTGAGCAAGCTGGCTTCAGCAGGACTTAAAGGCTTTAAAAAAATCACACCCGGCCTGGTTTTTTAGGTACCTAAATACCTTGGGAAAGCTGGCCCTCCGTCACTCCATTTCCCACCTGAAAGCAGGCCTGGAGAGACAGGGCAGCGTTCTATTACCTCTGTATTTGTCCCCGATACAAGCGCTGCTGGGCTCCTGCGGCCAGGGCTGGTGTGCGCCGTTCAAGAAGGAGGTTAATGAACTAGAGAGGGGTCAGGGAAGAGCCACGAGAACGATTAAAGGGTTAGGAAACCCGCGTTACAGTGAGAGACTCCAGGAGCTCCATCTAGTTAGTGTAACAAAGAGAAGGTGATGGGGTGACTTGATCCCAGGCTGTCAGTACAAATATTTAATGACGGGCTCTTCAGTCTCGCAAAGCTTCAACACAACCCAAGGGCTGGAACTTGAAGCTAGACAAATTCAGGTGGGAAATAAGGCATGCATTTGTAACAGGGAGAGTAATTAACCCGTGGAACAATTTACCAAGGGTCACGGGGGATTCTCCATCATTGACCGTTTTTAAATCAAGCTGGGACGTTTTTCTGACAGCTCCGCTGAAGGCATTATTGTGGGGCAGGTCTCGGGCCTGTGCTATCTAGAGGTCAGACTAGATGATCACAAAGGTCCCTTCTGGCCTTGGTATCTACGCAAGGTGGGGATAACAGCGCTGCCCTGTCTCAGAGCAGCGCAGGGAGGGTAAATATTTCCCGGGTTACGATGAGGCGCTCAGCTGCTACAGAAACAGAGCCGGGTGAAGTTCCTTAGGAGGACAGAATTCTGTTACCAACTCCAGTTCTTTCTAGTATTGGAGGAATTCCTTAGAGTATGATGCCTCCTGCATACGTGTGTCATGATCGATGTATAACCCACTTTCATCAGCATGCATTGAGGCTGAGGAGAAATCCAGGTGAAATTCCAGCCTGTGTGTTGAGGAGATGATCGAATCATCGTCCTGCCTCAGTTTAGATGTCTACTCAGAGCTGATGGTTTAACAGTTCATTGTATTTATATGATCATTAACACGTTCACCTTCCCCCTCACACACATTTCCAGCAGTGGGTTTCCTGATCTGCTGAGCTGAGAAGAGCAGTGTCTTCTCCACCTCCGTCTCAGAGACTTTTGCAAGCAATTTGCTCAGCTAGCCCCAGTCAAACAAGGGGGCTTGTTTCCACTGACAGGCGAGACCTGCAAACAGGCCAGGCCAGGTGTTAAAAGGCAGAGACGTCGCCTTGCAGATGTCAATGGGTGTGGGGTGCACCACAGACAGTTGTCTCCCCTGGTGCATGCAAACCGGCTCTGCATTTCCCCCCTTGCTTCTTGCAGCTTGTCCGCAGTGTCCGCTTTGGCATCGGGTCGGCTGCGCCGGGAACATCGTCCTGCTGGGAGCTGTGATAGTCCTGGCTGTCCTGGGTGAGTAGCCCCCGGCTGTGGGTTTTGTGCTGCGGCCCAGCAACGCAGCGGGAACTCAACACGCGTTGTTGGGGCTCAAGGCCTGGGTGATACAGGAGGTCTCTTCTAGCCTTGAAATTTGTGATTCTGGGACACCTGTGCCAGATTCTCAGTTGCTATATATTGCCATAGTGTCATTGATTTACACCACCTGGGGATCTGGCCCATGGACTCCAATGGGGCTATGGCCGATTCACACCAGCTGGGATCTGGCCCATGGACTCCGATGGAGCCATAGGCGCTGACGCCAGGGGTGCTCCGGGCCTCAGGCACCCACAGAAAAAAAATACAGGCGGCTCAGCACCCACCAGCCACCGTGGTTTGGCCTGGCCCCAGGGCTGGCTGCCGATCAGCTGTTCAGAGGGCAGGGGGCGGGAGTGTGGGATGGGGCAGGAGACAGTGGGTAGAGGAAGGGAGAGGGGATTGGGGAAGGGGGTGGAGTGGGGGCATGAAGAGGCGTAGTGAGGGCGGGGCCTTTGGAGGCAAGGCGGATTGAGGGCGTGGCCTCGGGGGGAGAGGCGGAGTGAGGGCGGGGCCTCAGGACAGAGCGGGGGCGGAGCACCCTGTGGGAAATCCAAAACTCAGTGCCTGTGGGTGGAGTTACGGCGGATCGACACCAGCTGGAATCTGGCCTTCTCTTCTCCAACTTTTGACTTCTATTTATCTTGAAGTTTCCCAGCGCCCACCCCAGAATCGCCAGACGGCACCAGTCCCGCAGACGGCTCAGAAGAGCGATTCCTGTGAGATCAATCGAAACACAACACCGTACCACCGTAGATTGGAGGATTTCCAATCCTGCCTGAAGCGAAAGTTGTGTGGGGTGGAAACCAGCTCAGCAGGTAACCCCCGCGCATCCTGCATCCAGCCCGTCACTCGCCCTCACTGTTACACACCCTGATGTTTACATAGAGCCGAGACACCTTCGTTCCCACCCCCTCTCTGTCCCATCCCTCCTTTCCTGAGCCTCTGTAATATCGCCAGGGACCTACACCCTCAGCTGCGACAGCCCGTGGCCCGTCAGGGTGGGCAGAGCCCTGGCAGCTGGAGCCATAACAGTGTAATAAGATTTTACAGTTCTTTAGCTGATCCGTGTATTACACGTGTAGCACCCAGAGGCACTAACTGAGATCAGGGTCACACTGTACCAGGCGCCCAGACCCACAGCGAGAGAAAGTCCCTGCCCCAGCTGAGATCAGGGCCCCGTGGTGCTGAGCGCTGCCCAGACCCACAGCGGGAGACGGTCCCTGCCCCAGCTGAGATCAGGGCCAGCATTGACTGACATTAGCATACTCCCTACTGAGCCCTGCAGCTCAGCGCCCCCTAGCCCTGCACTGGTGCATTGGGGTCAGCCGTGGCTGCAAGGTAGGCTGACCAGATAGCGAGTGTGAAAAATCGGGACGGGGGTGGGAGTAATAGGTATCTATATAAGAAAAAGCCCCATATATCGGGACTGTCCCTATCAAATCGGGACATCTGGTCACCCTACTGCAAGGTGAGAGCACCCTGTATTGAGCCTCTGCCTCTGATAACCGAACGCAGCTCCCACACGCACCCCCACGCAGCGCCACACTGGGGCATTGGGGCCAGCACTGACTGTGAGGGGAGAGCGCCCCCTGCTGATCCTCCTGCTCCGCTAACCTGTAACACAGCGCCCCCTTGCATCACACTGGGGTATTGGAGCCAGCACTTCCTCTGAGCACCCCATGATGTTATGGTCTTGCCACGCTCCCCAGAGCTCTGCCAATGCGCTGCGCTTTGTCTCACTAAAACATGGCGTGAGAAGGCTCCGTGTGTCTCTGCCGGTGGACGAGGAGATCCATTATTTTAATAACTGTTCCATTTCGCCCTCCAGACGGCTCCGGGTGCAAACTCTGCCCCAGGCACTGGGTGCCGCACAGGGACAGGTGCTACCAGCTGTCTGAAGTGAATAAATACTGGAGCCGGGGCCATGATGACTGCGCACGGAGGGGATCTCACCTGCTAGTGATCCAGGACCGGGAGGAGCTGGTAAAGAATGTATTTGTGTCCTTGTGAATAAAGCAGGTCACGAAGCCCTCTTTTATTTTTCCAGCAACAAACTTTTGAAAGTAAAATTTTCATTCACAATTTTTCTGTTTTTCACAGGAAAAATTTAAAGTGAAATGAAATGTTCATTTTTTTCAGAATTTCGACAGATATTCTCCATTTATTTTTAATCATTTTTAACCATTTAAATTTTCATAATTATAAAATTAGAATTATGGATTTGAAGTATTTTTTATCCATTTTTATTGCTGTAAATTTTCACGGTTGTGGGACATCATGGGGCGGGGTCAGACACTGGGCAGGGAGGTCGGACCATAATTAGTTAATGAGAGTAGCTGTTGAGATTCAAAGAGGTTCAGCTTTGTAACCGTCAACATAGCCAAAGTAAGGATCCTTAAATCTAACGCTAAGTTTTCAAGCACCATTTTCCTTACCTTGCCTCTCTGTAAGTTTTCATTATTGTCAGTGGAAATATTTGTCATCAGTTTGTGTGTGTACGGTGAAGTCGACATTTGCTGATAAAAATCGAATCGTCCCAAGCCTATATATTTAGGCTTGGGCGATTAAATTTTTATATAAATAAATACATTATATATATACAAATAAATAATAATAATTATATAAATAAATACATTAATAGTAGATCCCAAAACATTTTACAGTGTTTAAAGGATTAGGTGCAAACTGGAGACAGGAATCACTCAGCTATCGCTGGGATGCGGCTACTTCTGGGGTGGGGCAGCTAGGTAACAGCTGTATGGCAATGCTGCACAGGGTTTGTTCCCTCGGTACAGAATCCGATATGGAAAGAGGGGCAGTCGGTGGATAACAGCTGACATGTTTGCCCAGGGCTGAAATGCTTTTAATCATTTATTAGAGCTGTGTTAAAAAAAAAAAGCCAGCACAAAAAAAGTGTAGAAATTTTCATTCAAAAACATTGAGAATGTTTCCTGATGTTCACTGAAAATGATGAACAAAATTCATCACCATCTTGGTGGAGGGGAACAGGACTGACTCAGTTATTAATTAATGGTATAAATTGTTTGTTGTGTTTACTTTCAATTGGAGTTTCATCTGGTTCTGACTTGTCGCCAGTAATAATGATCAAAACCCAAACGAGGGATCAGGTCTCATTCGCGTCGTGAGCAAAGGAGTCAGAGAATTCTACCATGTTCTGTTCTCTCTGACACCTTGTCCATTTCACAGGAGTTCATACAGAATATTATACCAGAACAAAATCAGGTGTGGATTGGACTCATCATCACATCCCCAGGGAGGAATTGGACCTGGGTGGATGGTTCCCCGTTCAATCAAACACTGTGAGTGTTTCCTGATACGTTTTTTACATCAGTCTGCAATAAATACATAGGGTGAGACCGTGGGCCCCATTAAAGTTAAGGGCAAACCTGCTGTTGGCCTCCATGGGGCAGGGATTAGACCCACAAATCTTACAGTGTAAGGGCCTCAATCCTGCAAACACACATGGGCTTACCTTAAACTCTCTCATTGAAGTCAATGGCAGTATGCATGGGAGGAAAGCTAAGCAAATGCATACATGTTTGCAGGATGAGGGTCTCTGTTTGCATGGCCCCATTGCTCCTGGGCAGAACTGGTTACAAAATGGGGAGAAACACGATCTTTTCAATCTTTTCTTGTTTTTTGTCAACATCTGAGATTTCAAAATTCAAAAGCTGATCAGTTTCAAAACTGAGAACGTGCCAACTGCCTCCATAGATGGTCAAACAACTAGGTCAAAAAGCCACTCCGAATTCATCAAAACTTCCCCGTTTTTTCACTGAAATTTGAAATTGACTCAACTTTTCATGTAAGTTTCAAAGCTGAACATTTGCATCTGTTCTAAAGATTGGCCTCTCTGCCCTAGCGCTCTGATTCATTACTTTGCTGCAAGTTTCTGTACCAAGTACATCTCTCCACCAGGTCTGGATTTGAACATATCAACTTGTTTCATGTATCAGCCTATTTGGGGAAGGACTAGAGATGACGGCTGGAACCCCGGCATCCTGGAAGGAAGGAGAAGAGCTGCCATAGACCCTCTTCCCCACCTCTAAACCCGCTGATTGTGACTGTCTCCTTCCTCCTTTCACAGATTCCTGGTATCGGGTCCTGCTGAAGAGAACAGCTGCGCTGCAATACAGAAGAATCAGATCCAGTCTGAAATCTGCAACACTGACTATAAATGGATTTGCCAAAAGGAAGCTGTGCCCATTTAAACGGGTGGATTGACGACCTCTGTTTGCATATAAGGAATGCAGAACATCCTGTGTTCTCATCTTTATTTCAGCTACCAAAGCCCCAGGTAGTGTAAATCTGGGTAATGCCGAGAAAGTGAATGGCGCAAGGCTGATTTACACCCATTGGGGGACTGGGCCCGTTGACTCTAATGGAGTTACGGCCAGTTCACACCAGCTGGGAATCTGGCTCTTTGATTATTTTTTTAAAAAATAAATCTATAATTTTTTCACAGTGCTTCTAATATTGTCGTCAGAGTTTTCAAAGATTCCTGGGACGTTATTGTATACATTACGGTAACGCCTAGAGGCCCCAGCCGAGATCAGGGCCCCATCATGCCGGGCGCTGCCCAGACACCCAGCGAGAGACAGTCCCTGCTCAGAAACAGAATTTTTTTTCTGAAAAACCAGGGCTTACAGCTGGTTGTGAAAAAATACAGGAAAGCTTCCAAATTCTTGAATCAAGTCTGGATCTTTTTCTGGAAGCCCGGCTGGAGTTCAAAGAGGAATGAACTCTGCGGAGTTCTATGGCTTGTGTTATATAGGTCAGACTAAATCGGGGTAGTCAATAAACGGACCGCAGGCCAAAGCCAGACCGCCAGATGCTTGTGAGTGAACCCTGACATCTTTTAATTTACTTATTTATTATCATTATTGGGTTTTTTAAATTCTTTTCCCGGGAGTCTGGACATTGACTAGACCTTGACCAAGAAATTGAGACCTTGACAAAAAATAACTGACTACCCTGGGACTCTGATCACAGTGGTCCAGTCTGGCCTTAGAATCTATGGACCCTTTTTCATTTTTAAAGTTTTTAAATGTTTCATTTATAAAATGTTTTTGTGTGTTTGGAAATTTTCATCAGAACTTTTTCATTTTTTTGTTCCATTTTTCGGGGCAGGGGGTGTTTGTGGGTTATTTCCTCTTTTCACCCCTCCCCCTGATCTTTTCCCTTTTGCCGCTGGAAAAAAAAAGGAAGAAAGAAGGGGGGTGTCATGGACTCACAGAATTTGTGCTCCAGGTCACCAGTTGCTAGGGCACCCCATCTCCAGGCTGCCGTCCGGGGTCCTGGCTTCTAGGCAAGGTCACACCTGGAGGGTCCTCTGCAACAACAAACCCTCTCCCACCCCCTTGTTAAACATGAAGCAAACAGAGGAAACTGAGACACACACCATAATTCATTGAAACACTAAGAAAGTCCTCAATTTTTGTCACAGGAGGGAAAGGAAAAATACTAAATAACTCAATATTTTGTTTTTTTAAAAAACCCATCCAAAGTACATTTTGGGGTAGAAATGTCTGGTTTTGAAAAGGCTTTTGCTTTCAACCCCAAAATGTTTTACACTTTCACTTTTAACAGGTCAGTTGGGGCCTGTCATTGTGCACTATATCTATTCACTATGGAGGAAAGCATTGTCAAGTATCATCAGATTAAGGCATCCCAAATAGCCGCTATGGACTTGACACAGCACTACGGATATTCTCTGGCCTGCGGTACGGACGTTAGACAAGATGATCTAATGAGCTTCAAATCTGTGAAATTATTAATCATTCTACACAGCCCCGTTCTCCAGCTGTTTTCATGCTCGGTTCTAAACCGCACCGTAGGTCACCGGGGTGGAGCATCACACTCAGAGCAGTGGGTGGGCTGGAAAGGTCTTCCGCAGTAGAAAGAAAAACTTCAGTGAGAGGTGGGTGACTTTTTTAGCCAGTCAACGAGCAGGGGGGCTTGAAGGCCAGCTGGAGGGCACGTGCAGCCAGAGCAGGTCATCGCCACGCTCTGCTCCCACGTACCAGGGCTACTTGTGAAAAGGTTCATGGTAGCTTCGCCAGAGCTAGCATTGAAAAACTGGCAGGGTGGCGGGTATGGTGCCTGTGACTTGGGCTACTGCCCTGAGCTCAGACCCGGGGGAAGGCCGGCAGGCTTGGACGTGAGTTGCTAGCCGGAGACAACATCCACGCTGCTATTTTTAGGGTGCTAAGGGAGGGCGAGTCTGTCTAGCTGCACAGACAATGAAACAACTGCCCCAAGGCAAATCATAAATCCTAAAAATACAAACTTCCCACCCCTTGGACCATGCAGTTAAACCAGGCCAGAGAAGTTTGATTTCAAACGTTGGGAAATGCTGTTTCCCCCCAACATACACAGAAAAAGTTGATGGGAAGTGATTTTTTTTCCCCCCATTTGCAGTGGAAACTTTCCTCTTCTTGTGCATCCTCCCCACTCAAAATCTTCCCCCGCCCCGCCCCCAATTGCAACCATTTCTTTTCAGGGGGGATTTTTCATTGGGGGGACAAACATTCCAGACTTTTCGAGGAAAGCGGCTGCTTTCTGCCCAAAAATAAAATAAAAATTCATGGTAGTGAAAACACTGTGATGGAAACCTGTCCACCCACCCTCTTTTCGAGCTCATTTCTGCCTCTTGATCTAAAATTGCTACACAGGCTTTTGACAGCTGGCTGCTGTGGGCAGCCCCCTCAAAGACCATTGATTCTCCGAGCACAGACAAAAGCAGAGGGGCAGGATCTCGACACAAGCCTGCTCGCACTGGCTCTGTATGGCTCCAGATTGGCATTTCCTGCCTCACTGAGTTCGGATCTGCACTGAATCGGAGTCGGGTGGAGCAGCCAACTCTCCGGGCACTTTTGAAAAGAGCAGCAGGGGCAGAAGGTACAAATTATTCCGCCATTCGCCAAAGCTCAGGCAGTGGTCAGAAGGTGGCAGGTTTCAACCGACACAATATTTCCTGGTGGAGGCGTGTTCATGTTAGCTCCCACACAGCTAGGACGGTGCCTTCACACGCAGCTGTTGCCTTTGCTGGCCATGGCTGATGGAGAAGTCTATGAGAATGTAAACTTCAAGGCAGGCTCTCTGCCCAGCCACACGTCGGCCCCGGCTCAGCATCACAGTGAGTGCCTTTCACTTTGTGGTGTTTTTTCAGGGGTGTGGATTTTGGGAGGCTGGGATTCCACTTTTGCGACTGTAATGTTGATAAATAGCAGGTCTAACAATGCACGAGGAGTGAGATCCCCATCTGGTGCAAGTGGGCATAGCTTCACTGACTTCAATGCATTAAGTCCGGATTTACACCAGGGTCACGGAGATCAGAATTTGGTCCTAACTCCACTGACTTCAGAGGGGTTGCTCTGGATTTACCTCTGGTCATTGAGGTCAAAGTCCAGCCCTGGCCCCATTCATTGCAGTGTAGTCACTCTGGATTTGGAACAAGGTAACTGAGATTTGAATGGTTTCAGAGGAACAGCCGTGTTAGTCTGTATTCGCAAAAAGAAAAGGAGTACTTGTGGCACCTTAGAGACTAACCAATTTATTTGAGCATGAGCTTTCGTGAGCTACAGCTCACTTCATCAGATGTTTACCGTGGAAACTGCAGCAGACTTTATATACACACAGAGAATATGAAACAATACCTCCTCCCACCCCACTGTCCTGCTGGTAATAGCTTATCTAAAGTGATCAACAGGTGGGCCATTTCCAGCACAAATCCAGGTTTTCTCACCCTCCACCCCCCCACACAAATTCACTCTCCTGCTGGTGCTAGCCCATCCAAAGTGACAACTCTTTACATAATCAAGTCGGGCTATTTCCTGCATAGATCCAGGTTTTCTCACATCCCCCCCACCCCCATACACACACAAACTCACTCTCCTGCTGGTAATAGCTCATCTAAACTGACCACTCTTCAGGTTTAAATCCAAGTTAAACCAGAACATCTGGGGGGGGGGGGTAGGAAAACACAAGAGGAAACAGGCTACCTTGCATAATGACTTAGCCACTCCCAGTCTCTATTTAAGCCTAAATTAATAGTATCCAATTTGCAAATGAATTCCAATTCAGCAGTTTCTCGCTGGAGTCTGGATTTGAAGTTTTTTTGTTTTAAGATAGCGACCTTCATGTCTGTGATTGCGTGACCAGAGAGATTGAAGTGTTCTCCGACTGGTTTATGAATGTTATAATTCTTGACATCTGATTTGTGTCCATTTATTCTTTTACGTAGAGACTGTCCAGTTTGACCAATGTACATGGCAGAGGGGCATTGCTGGCACATGATGGCATATATCACATTGGTGGATGTGCAGGTGAACGAGCCTCTGATAGTGTGGCTGATGTTATTAGGCCCTGTGATGGTGTCCCCTGAATAGATATGTGGGCACAATTGGCAACGGGCTTTGTTGCAAGGATAAGTTCCTGGGTTAGTGGTTCTGTTGTGTGGTATGTGGTTGTTGGTGAGTATTTGCTTCAGGTTGCGGGGCTGTCTGTAGGCAAGGACTGGCCTGTCTCCCAAGACTTGTGAGAGTGTTGAGTCATCCTTTAGGATAGGTTGTAGATCCTTAATAATGCGTTGGAGGGGTTTTAGTTGGGGGCTGAAGGTGACGGCTAGTGGCGTTCTGTTATTTTCTTTGTTAGGCCTGTCCTGTAGTAGGTAACTTCTGGGAACTCTTCTGGCTCTATCAATCTGTTTCTTTACTTCTGCAGGTGGGTATTGTAGTTGTAAGAAAGCTTGACAGAGATCTTGTAGGTGTTTGTCTCTGTCTGAGTGGTTGGAGCAAATGCGGTTGTATCGCAGAGCTTGGCTGTAGACGATGGATCGTGTGGTGTGGTCAGGGTGAAAGCTGGAGGCATGCAGGTAGGAATAGCGGTCAGTAGGTTTCCGGTATAGGGTGGTGTTTATGTGGCCATTGTTAATTAGCACTGTAGTGTCCAGGAAGTGGATCTCTTGTGTGGACTGGACCAGGCTGAGGTTGGTGGTGGGATGGAAATTGTTGAAATCATGGTGGAATTCCTCAAGGGCTTCTTTTCCATGGGTCCAGATGATGAAGATGTCATCAATATAGCGCAAGTAGAGTAAGGGCTTTAGGGGACGAGAGCTGAGGAAGCGTTGTTCTAAGTCAGCCATAAAAATGTTGGCATACTGTGGGGCCATGCGGGTACCCATAGCAGTGCCGCTGATCTGAAGGTATACATTGTCCCCAAATGTGAAATAGTTATGGGTAAGGACAAAGTCACAAAGTTCAGCCACCAGGTTAGCCGTGACATTATCGGGGATAGTGTTCTTGACGGCTTGTAGTCCATCTTTGTGTGGAATGTTGGTGTAGAGGGCTTCTACATCCATAGTAGCCAGGATGGTGTTATCAGGAAGATCACCGATGGATTGTAGTTTCCTCAGGAAGTCAGTGGTGTCTCGAAGGTAGCTGGGAGTGCTGGTAGCGTAGGGCCTGAGGAGGGAGTCTACATAGCCAGACAATCCTGCTGTCAGGGTGCCAATGCCTGAGATGATGGGGCGCCCAGGATTTCCAGGTTTATGGATCTTGGGTAGTAGATAGAATATCCCAGGTCGGGGTTCCAGGGGTGTGTCTGTGCGGATTTGATCTTGTGCTTTTTCAGGAAGTTTCTTGAGCAAATGCTGTAGTTGCTTTTGGTAACTCTCAGTGGGATCATAGGGTAATGGCTTGTAGTAACTCGTGTTGGAGAGCTGCCGAGCAGCCTCTTGTTCATATTCCGACCTATTCATGATGACAACAGCACCTCCTTTGTCAGCCTTTTTGATTATGATGTCAGAGTTGTTTCTGAGGCTGTGGATGGCATTGCGTTCCGCATGGCTGAGGTTATGGGGCAAGTGATGCTGCTTTTCCACAATTTCAGCCCGTGCACGTCGGCGGAAGCACTCTATGTAGAAGTCCAGTCTGCTGTTTCGACCTTCAGGAGGAGTCCATCTAGAATCCCTCTTTCTGTAGTGTTGGCAGGGAGACCTCTGTGGATTAGTATGTTGTTCAGAGGTATTTTGGAAATATTCCTTGAGACGGAGACGTCGAAAATAGGATTCTAGGTCACCACAGAACTGTATCATGTTCGTGGGGGTGGAGGGGCAGAAGGAGAGGCCCCGAGATAGAACAGCTGCTTCTGCTGGGCTGAGAGTATAGTTGGATAGGTTAACAATATTGCTAGGTGGGGTGAGGGAACCATTGCTGTGGCCCCTTGTAGCATGTAGTAGTTTAGAAAGTTTAGTGTCCTTTTTCTTTTGTAGAGAAGCAAAGTGTGCGTTGTAAATGGCTTGTCTAGTTTTAGTAAAATCCAGCCACGAGGAAGTTTGTGTGGAAGGTTGGTTCTTTATGAGAGTATCCATTTTTGAGAGCTCATTCTTAATCTTTCCCTGTTTGCTGTAGAGGATCTTGATCAGGTGATTCCGCAGTTTCTTTGAGAGCGTGAGGCACAAGCTGTCAGCATAGTCTGTGTGGTATGTAGATTGTAATGGATTTTTGACCTTCAGTCCTTTTGGTACGATGTCCATCTGTTTGCATTTGGAAAGGAAGATGATGTCTGTCTGTATCTGTACAAGTTTCTTCATGCAGTTGATAGATTTCCACTCCATACGGCTAAATGCAGTGCCTTGCATAATGACAGGTTTCAGAGGAACAGCCGTGTTAGTCTGTATTCGCAAAAAGAAAAGGAGGACTTGTGGCACCTTAGAGACTAACCAATTTATTTGAGCATGAGCTTTCGTGAGCTACAGCTCACTTCATCAGATGTTTACCGTGGAAACTGCAGCAGACTTTATATACACACAGAGAATATGAAACAATACCTCCTCCCACCCCACTGTCCTGCTGGTAATAGCTTATCTAAAGTGATCAACAGGTGGGCCATTTCCAGCACAAATCCAGGTTTTCTCACCCTCCACCCGGACTGGGAGTGGCTAAGTCATTATGCAAGGTAGCCTGTTTCCTCTTGTGTTTTCCTACCCCCCCCCCCAGATGTTCTGGTTTAACTTGGATTTAAACCTGAAGAGTGGTCAGTTTAGATGAGCTATTACCAGCAGGAGAGTGAGTTTGTGTGTGTATGGGGGTGGGGGGGATGTGAGAAAACCTTGATCTATGCAGGAAATAGCCCGACTTGATTATGTAAAGAGTTGTCACTTTGGATGGGCTAGCACCAGCAGGAGAGTGAATTTGTGTGGGGGGTGGAGGGTGAGAAAACCTGGATTTGTGCTGGAAATGGCCCACCTGTTGATCACTTTAGATAAGCTATTACCAGCAGGACAGTGGGGTGGGAGGAGGTATTGTTTCATATTCTCTGTGTGTATATAAAGTCTGCTGCAGTTTCCACGGTAAACATCCGATGAGGTGAGCTGTAGCTCACGAAAGCTCATGCTCAAATAAATTGGTTAGTCTCTAAGGTGCCACAAGTCCTCCTTTTCTTTTTTTGAGATTTGAATGCAGCTCTGACACAATTCATCGCAGTGGAGTCACTCCGGATTTGGAACAGCGTCACTGAGATCTGGGCATAGTGAGAGCAATACACAGTTGGTCACAATATATTGTACGGCTCTGCCCTCCTGTGCCATCACATTGCCCGACTGGAGTGCGATTGACACGTACTGAGACCAAGAGGAGGGAGCAGGGAGGCCCGGGGGGAAGGACACTTGGAAGACCTGTGTTTAAGTCCTTTTTTGCACACTCCCTGTGTCGTCTTGAGCTAGGCACGTAGGGTCAGACTTCCACAGGTAATTAGGTGCCTGAGCAAGCTGGCTTCAGCAGGACTTAAAGGCTTTAAAAAAATTACACCCGGCCTGGTTTTTTAGGTACCTAAATACCTTAGGAAACCTGGCCCTCCATCACTCCGTTTCCCACCTGAAAGCAGGCGTGGAGAGACAGGGCAGCGTTCTATTACCTCTGTATTTGTCCCCGATACAAGCGCTGCTGGGCTCCTGAGGCCAGGGCTGGTGTGCGCCGTTCAAGAAGGAGGTTAATGAACTAGAGAGGGGTCAGGGAAGAGCCACGAGAACGATTAAAGGGTTAGGAAACCCGCGTTACAGTGAGAGACTCCAGGAGCTCCATCTAGTTAGTGTAACAAAGAGAAGGTGACGGGGTGACTTGATCCCAGGCTGTCAGTACAAATATTTAATGACGGGCTCTTCAGTCTCGCAAAGCTCCAACACAACCCAAGGGCTGGAACTTGAAGCTAGACAAATTAAGGCGAGAAATAAGGAGTGCATTTATAACAGGGAGAGTAATTAACCCGTGGAACAATTTACC